CAGCACGCTGATTCCGAAAATCATGGTCTCTAGGGTGGGAATCTTTACCGTTCTCGAGATAGAACCCTCTAAAGTTTTCGACACCCATGACCGGGCCATCCCGATTTGGCTGAAAATTGGCTCACAGAGCCTTCTCAGCACGCTGATTCCGAAAATCATGGTCTCTAGATTGGGAGTCTTTACCGTTCTCAAGATAGAACCATCTAAAGTTCTTACCACCCATGACCGGGCCATCCCGATTTGGCTGAAAATTTGCTCACAGAGCCTTCTCAGCACGCTGATTCCGAATATCATGGTCTCTAGGGTGTGAATCTTAACCGTTCTCTAGATATAACCCTCTAAAGTTCTTACCACCCATGACCTACCCATCCCGCTTTGGCTGAAAATTTGCTCACAGAGCCTTCTCAGCACCCTGATTCCGAAAACAATGGTCTCTAGGGTGGGAATCTTTACCGTTCTCGAGATAGAACCCTCTAAAGTTCTTACCACCCATGACCGGGCCATCCCGATTTGGCTGAAAATTTGCTAACAGAGCCTTCTCAGCACGCTGATTCCGAAAATCATGGTCTTTAGGGTGGGAATCTTTACCGTTCTCGAGATAGAACCCTCTAAAGTTCTTACCACCCATGACCGGGCCATCCCGATTTGGCTGAAAATTTGCTCACAGAGCCTTCTCAGCACGCTGATTCCGAATATCATGGTCCCTAGGGTGAGAGTCTTTACCGTTCTCGAGATAGAACCCTTTGAAGCTCTTACCACCCATGACCGGGCCATCCCGATTTTGCTAAAAATTGGCTCACAGAGCCTTCTCAGCACGCTGATTCCGAAAATCATGGTCTCTAGGGTGGGAATCTCAACCGTTCTCGAGATAGAAACCTCTAAAATTTTCGACACCCATGACCGGGCCATCCCGATTTGGCTGCAAGTTTGCTCACAGAGCCTTCTCAGCACGCTGATTCCGAAAATCATGGTCCCTAGGGTGGGAATTTTTACTGTTCTCGAGATAGAACCCTCTAAAGCTCTTACCACCCATGACCAGGCTATCCCGATTTGACTGGGATGGCCCGGTCGATTTAACAGACTATAATTTTCGGAATCAGCGTGCTGAGAAGGCTCTGTGAGAAAATTTTCAACCAAATCAGGATGGCCCGGTCATGGGTGTCGAAAACTTTAGAGGGTTCTATCTCGAGAAGGGTAAAGATTTCCACCCTAGAGACTATGATTTTCGGAATCAGCGTGCTTAGAAGGCTCTGTGAGCAAAAATTCAGCCAAATCGGGATGGCCCGGTCTTTGGTGTCGAAAACTTTAGAGGGTTCTATCTCTAGAACGGTAAAGATTCCCACCCTAGAGACCATGATTTTCGGAATCAGCGTGCTGAGAAAGCTCTGTGAGCAAATTTTCAGCCAAATCGGGATGGCCCGGTCATGGGTGGACTGGTAAGAACTTTAGAGGGTTCTATCTCGATAACAGTAAAGATTCCCACCCTAGAGACCATGCTTTTCGTAATCAGCGTGCTGAGAAGGCTCTGTAAGCAAATTTTCAGCCAAATCGGAGTGGCCCTGTCATGGGTGGTTAGAACTTTAGAGGGTTATATCTCGATAACAGTAAAGATTCCCACCCTAGAGACCATGATTTTCGGAAATAGCGTGCTGAGAAGGCTCTGTGAGCAAATTTTCAGCCAAATCGGGATGGCCCGGTCACGGGTGCAAAGAACTTTAGAGGGTTCTATCTCGAGAATGGTGAAGATTCTCACCCTAGAGACCATGATTTTCGGAATCAGCGTGCTGAGAAGGCTCTGTGAGCAAATTTTCAGTCAAATCGGGATGGCCCGGTCTTGGGTGTCGAAAACTTTCGAGGGTTCTATCTCGAGAACGGTAAAGATTCCCACCGTAGAGACCATAATTTTCGGAATCAGCGTGCTGAGAAGGCTCTGTGAGCAAATTTTCAGCTAAATAGGGATGGCCCGTTTGTCGCTGCTGGACTCGCTGCTCGCTGCTCGCTGCTAGTTTGACAGACGTCTTGCCCCGCGAGAATTTCTCTAGTTTCTGAAGAATTTTTTCGGGACCCATGCTCTACTCATACTGGATTCGAATATACGCATTGCGCACAGCACCCTACTTAATCGGTCCCTAGCGATGTGCCAAATTTGAGCGCAAGCGGCCCAACTATTCTCGATATCTGGAAGCGGCACCTTGCACGTGCGCACGTGCAAAATGAGTCCCAACTGACTTTTGCACGGCACCCTACTAACCGGTCCCTAACCGTGTACCAAAGTTGAGCGCCATCGGTCCAGCCGTTCTCGAGATCTGGAATCAACCCCTGCACGTGCGCACGTGCAGCAGCACCCCAACTACGGCACATGAATATGCATTGCCTAGTGCGTGCCTACCTACATGCCAACTTTCAGCGCAATCGGCCCAGTAGTTACCGAGACATTGCAATGGTTACAAAACTGACACCTCTTGGCTTTGCAAGTGGCACATGCATAAGGGGTCACCCATATGCATCGGGAGTAGTCCAACAGTGGGTAGAAGGAATGAAGCTACCCTACAAAAATTACCGCATGTAAATCGGCCAAGTGGTTGCTGATGCCAAGTGGAGCCCGCGCGGACGCCTCGCAAAAGCGTCTGCGCGGGCCAGAAATTTCCGTTTATCTACCAAAGGTCCCACGCATGAAGAACGGCCAAACGGACAGCACACGGCTGATCCTACAAGGAACCTGCGAGGCTTCCCGACGACTGCTGAGGCTCCTCACGTGCCCACGCTGACGATGCAGCCTTCAGCGCTCTCGTCCGGCGTGCCACTCGACCTTCGCCCTAGAGTTGTCGCTGCGCCGACCGCTACCCTACCAACGCAGTGTCGCGTTCGACAACTTTTGGCGCCGTGGCAATCACTGCATTTGACCCAATTACCACCAATCTGTCCAGACCAGACGTTACATGAATCTCCAGATTGAATCTCCAGATTGCATTCCAGCATATCCAGTAAAACTTAGAAGAGCCACCCATAACAAATTTTGACTGGAGGTGCTCAGACAGGCCCAACAGTTGATGCAACAGTGAATGGCGTCAGGTGCTTTAGTAAAAAATCAGTCACTGGCAAGGCCATATATAGGGGTAATGGTTCTAAAAAAGCCTGAGGGCTGTTCACGGGCCCTGTGTGCGGTCGGACCGCACACAGCGATCGCTGTGGCCGGTCGGGACTGGCCAGTGGCCACAGCGGACCGTCCACCGCACGCAGCCGTAACGTCAGAACCGCCTACCCATCCCCTACCCCCACGCCTGCTGGACGCACCGCACACACCGCACGCAGCAGTGTGCGGTGCCCGTGAACACCCCTCAGCAGTCAGTGTTCCATGGTTTAGAATTTTTGGTGAAAAAGATACCTAATGGGGAAATATTTCCATCCCAAAAATATGAAACAGGGCATTATTTATCTGCATTATTATTGCAGGGCATTATTTTGAAAAATTGATGTTTTATGTATCCAAAGTCCAACAACCAGGTTATATATGACATGACATTTGCTGCATCCACATCCTTTTCTTTCACATCCTGAACATGAAATCAGAAATCCTGCTTTACCATTTGGCATTAAAATGGCATTACACCCTTTTGTGAAAATACTATAGGTATTTGCTTCTTTTTCTCATCCTGATTTTTTCTTATTCTTTGGTACACTCAACCAAAATCCAATTTTAGAACACTGCCAGCAGTTCTCCAGTCAATGGGCACTACTGGCATTCTATGAGAGCATGGAGCATTGGAGGTGGAAACTGCTGCAACCACTACTGGAATAGCTGGAACCAAGGGCCTGTTCCAGCACCTCCAGTAAAAATTATTGACTGGAGGATCTACCAGAAGTTTTACTGGAGGCACAGGAATGCTATCTGGAGATTTCTGGATTGGTGTCAGGGATACCAAAAGAATGATGATGTTTCACTCTTAAAAGAAATTGTTTTTTTAATTTTAGTACGAAAGATTTACAAAATTATATAAATGCAACTTTCTTTACATTCAAATTTTAAAATCAACAGCCAGGGCTCTTGTTTACATTCATAATAGTCACATGTGTGCCATAATTGTAGACCAGAGCCTCCAGTGAACCTCCAGTGAAATAGGGAACTCACAACTCTGGAGTTTTCCAAGCTGATGCGCGCGCTAACTCTTCCAGCAACTCTCTGGAGGCTACTGGATGTTTCTGGAGCTTCGGCAAGAGCTTTCTGGAGGTGCTGGAATGGAATGCTCTCTGGAGGAAGCTGGAGCTTTCTGGAGGTTCCTGGAGGCACTGGAACAGGCCCATTGTCACAGGGTGACAGGTGCGCCATCATTGTAGACCAGAGCCTCAGTGAACCTCTAGTGAAATTGAAATGTGGACTTCACAACTCTCTGGGGGCTACTGGAGGTTTCTAGAACTTTGACTAGAGCTTTCTGGAGCTGCTGGAACACTCTGGAACTTTCTGGAGGTTTCTGGAGGCACTGGAAGGTATCGGTAAAGATACCCACTGGAACAGGCCCAAAGTTGAAGCATTAGGCCCAAAGTAACTGAAAGTGAAGCGCTAACACCACTATAAGGCATCGGGTTGCAACCTTTGAAGAACAACCCAAACCATGGGGACATAGCCACAAAGACAGCACACCAATTATAATAAACCACCCTCCATCCACAAGTACAACAACCGCCCACTACAGACCCGTTTCTCACAGACAAGACACGGACCAACGTGTTTCATCCTTTCGGTTCAGGTTAGAACTTAGAACCCCTGACTGTTGTGACCCCGTCAGGTCAGCTGACTTCTCCCTTTGTCCTCACCTCGTCTCCTCAATTCACTCCCAGGGGTTATCTGTGCTCCTGCTTCTTCGCCTCACTACACCGCAACACACGGCAACGCCCGCTGTATCGCTGTATTGGTATCGCCTTGACAACGCACGCTATCGGCCCAAACAGAAACGCCACCCCCGCCACCCCGCCCCGCCACCTTGCGCCAACCGACGACCCACCTCTGGTTCTGACAACCGCCGATAGGTGGCAGCAGGTCCCGGACTCAGTCTGCCACCTCTGGTTCCGACCGTTCCGACCAAGGCCCATGTTCCGACCAAGTTCCGAGCAAGTTCCGACCAAGATACCGTTCCGGCGACAGCCGTCGATAGGTGACAGCAGGTTTGGAGTGAACTCAAAAGCTAGCGCGCACACAAGATTTTGAATGGGAGGCAGTGGCGTGGCGCGGGAACCAGGGGGGGGGGGGGGCTGAGCCCCTCCAACTTTTGGGCTGGGGGGGGGGGGGCAAGTAGCGGCGGAACACCTTCAATTAAGGGGGGCACTGCCGACTTTTGGTCCCATTCTTTCCATGCAACGCCCATGGGGCTAATGGTAAAATGTCAAAATCAAACGGGGGCACGGTGCCCGTTCCGCCACTTATGGGGGGGGGGCTCGTAATGTATTTGAGCCCCCCCCCCCCCCCCCCGGCTGGAGGAATCGAAATCGGAAATCTACCAGCATAATTTCATAGATTCATACATAGGCGCGGGAACCGGGGGAGGGGGAAGTGGGAGTGGGGGAAGCTTACCCCCACAGCTACTGGGGCCGTGGGGGCGGTGCCCCACAACTTTTCATGAGGTCAGGAACCGTTGGGGCAGCTTGTCCTCCCCAAATTAGGGGTAGTGGGTCACAAAGGAAGAAAGCATATAAGTGAAAAATTCACCTCTTTCACTGGCTCGGCAACTCATTTGGCAGATTAAAATCTTTATTCCAGCCGGTTGCCGAAACGGTAGTTTTTTCCAGGGTTTCGGAGTCGTGGTAGTGCTCTTCCGACTCCGACTCCGACTCCGACTCCGGGCTCCTGACCTACTCCGACTCCGACTCCGACTCCGACTCCGACTCCGGGTCTGATACAAAGGGCAATAGTGGCTGCCAAAATTCCGCGTGATATGACGCGCCATGTTAGGTCTATAGGGTGTCCGGAAAGTCCTGGCTTTTCAACATTTTTAAAATAAATGCCTGGTCCATAGATACTCAACAATAGAACAAAACAATGACCAGGAACACCAAGCCACATGCTTCTGCTAAGTGCCCATTCATTGTAACCACCGTCTGTGCCGACGACGGCCTCGACGCAAGGGCGGAAACGCCTGCGGGTTTTGACGATGCAGGACGATTTTCTTCGATTGCCGCTGAAATGCTGCTTCAGTCTCAGCAGACAGCAGCTTTGTCATACCGTGGTCGTAACTGAGAGAGAATATTTTCTAAGAAATTTCCGATCCAGAATGCACCTTTGCCTGCTCAACCGTTCGCCGGGAAACGCTGCATCGCGCTGCAACTCGCGCCTCGTTCAAGCCGCACCGGGCCCCCGCGTGCGGGCTCTCAGCGACAAGGCGCATCTTCGCCCATATACCTAGTACTGAAAACGGTTCAAAGGTCATCTTTACACGACACCTAGCGGCTAGCTGAGCGGTGAACGAGGGGTCATAGCTGCGGTGATTGGTTGAAAGTCCAATATCACAGCGCGCGTTGGACGACGTCCAAAAGAGGCGCCAGAACTTTCCGGACACCCTGTTCGCGCACCGGGAGATCGCTCCGGTTTCGTTCATGCGGTCACCATTTCTCCCACGTGGACGCAGCTGAATCTTTAGAGACCAGCGGCCGGCGGCCAGCTTGAAAACCCGCCGAGAAGCACGAGTGTGGTCGTATCATGACCACGGGCATCGCCATCATGTCGGTCTGTGTTTGTGTTAGGCACTTTTTGGAGCGATAAAAGAAGACAGTAAATATACAGTTGTCATTAGGGGAGAGTGGGGAAAGATGCCCAGGGTTTTGCTATGTCACATATTATTCGAAAATGACGATGGGAAAGCAAAAACTTGGAGTTTCAACTTTCAACGGAAGCCGACATCATTTTTCTCCAAAAATATCACACTTTCGTGCCTGAAATATTATAACTTTTTTTGCTATTAAGCATTTTCCTGAAGAAGTGAAAGGGGGCATCTTACCCCACAGGGTGGGAAAGACGCCCCCTGACGTTGGGAAAGATGCCCCCTGCACTATAAGTGACATAAATGGGCACGTGAATCGCCTGAACGAATCAGTAGTCCCTTCGAGCCTGCAGTAGACACCAAACGTCATCATAAGGGCCCTCAAAAGTAGTCGTAAGGGGCTTCAGAGGTCATCGTTAGGGCCATCATAGTCCAGCACGGCCAAACAAGCCTCCGTGATGGCGTTCGGAGACCACTGTGGGGCTCTTATAGGTCTTCATGATGCTTGAGGGCCCTCGAGCCCATCGTGGGGACCTCCGATGCCAGCGCGGCCCGTGGGGCCAACGTGGGAGCCCTCAAAGGATGTCGTGAGGGGCCCGGGAGCCAATAATGGGGCCCACAGAGGCCGTCGTGAGGGCTCTCAGAGTCAGATGCCGCCCAAAAAGTCGCTATGTGGGCCGAGAGACCGGCATGGGGAGCACCCGACCGTACTGGACTCTCAATAGTCCCAGATCGGCTTTTGTCTACATCACAAGTATGTAATAAATGATTTGACGGGCTGTTTGAAGGACAGCCTACGGATTTAGGGGGGCGTCTTTCCCCATCAGGACAGGGGGCATCTTACCCCAAGGTACCGAAGTAACATTAAATCAGTACAATTTTTTAGCCATAAAACTACACCCTGAAACAAACTGTTTGGGACACAGCACAGGCATGCTAATGTATCATGACTTTAGCAAAGGACGCAAAAATTATTTACCTTCTTTGATATTTACAATGTTCTGACACCAAAATATTTTTTGAAAGCAGCAAATAAAAAACATGCAATCATCAGCCAGCCGTTGCCCAACTGAGCTTCGCAATTTTTTGTGCAGTTAACAAGGCAGGCTTCCGCTTTACGCTAAGAACATTAATTTCCAGGTCCGATTCTTTGTTTCGCCGCTAGAGGGGGTGGGGCGTCTTTCCCACCCTGGGCATCTTACCCCACTCTCCCCTAAGTCTTTGACACTGGATAGTAGAAGTTATAACGCGAATACAAATTGCTTGCCTACTAGGTTATGACATGACTTGAATTTGTAAGATGCAACGCTAGCTTTTCAGAACAAAAACAAGATGTGTGAAAAAAATACCTTATTTGTGATCACCGGAAGCGAATTTTGCCGTGGGGCCACCCGGCCACTGGTTAAAGGGACAGTATCATCGAAAAAAAAAATCAATGTATGGAGCTGATTTTTTTTACTAGCATTTCTTATTTTTCTGAATCAGAAAAACATAGTTTGAGGACCGAACTCGGTGAAAAATATTTTTTTCATGAGCGAGTCATTTTCATGAGCGAACCACCACTACAAGCATGGCCGCCACTTTGGAAGCCTGCGAAATTACTACAGAACTGGCGCAGATAATGCATTATTGACGCTACGCTTACGCGGCCGCTCTTCTGATTGAGTTGTCGTTAGGGAAAGGCAGCATTAGGTATTGCCCAGAAGATATCACGTGACAATATTCTCGTACTTGAAGCAAATGTGAAGTACTTTTAGCAGATCAGATGACGTCATACATATACGTCATACATTGGAGGGAGATTGTGATTCAAGCTGGAGGAATTCCTTTGTTGAGCCGCTAGAATCCGAAGGAAACAGCGGAAATTGCCTACCTACGACTATTTAATGAATTTAACGGTGATGAATAAGTGCGAAAAACGTTTTGGCTTTATAAAATTTGATGAAATCACCAGGGTAAAAGTTTTATTACTGGCGGTCAATTCAAAACGGCGCAAACATTTAAACAGTGAAGATAGTGAAGCACGATTCAAAGTGTAGTACACCTTTCGTATGTACTTTGAGCGGCGATAGCGGGATAACGGTGTGGAGCTTCGAGGATCGGTCTTCAGTTCCCGGACCAGAAAGGTGGGGCCAATGCAATGTCAAATTTCATCAAAATGGTGATACTGTCCCTTTAAAAACAACTGAAAAGTGATAGCACGGATTTTAGACTTCAGTTAACTTTCCGGAGTCGGTGTCGAGGCTCCCGGACCGACTCCGACTCCGACTCCGACTCCGAAACCCTGGACTTTTTTCACTCAGCTGAGACGGAATATCTGACTTTTTTGCAATTTTTTGTTTGTTTTTGTTTTAAAGGCCAAGGTGGCCTGAAAAATAAGTGGCCTAAAACCGGTGAGAAAACTAGATTTGAGGGTACCCTAGGTTGATCTCTATTATGGTTCAGCCCCCCCCCCCCATTCTGGAAGAAGTTCCCGCGCCACTGATGGGAGGGGCACGACCTGACTGCCCCCCCCCCCGGCCCTAACAAAAAAAAAATACGGCTGACGGGGTCATATTTCGGCTGGCTTAAAGCTTGAGCTTTTAGCAATGCATGGTCACCACTCACCGTTCCGTGCTTCTATCCTCAGGATACTGAAAAGCTTCTCCTCCACGCCGCAACCCCCTCCGGGCTGGACAGGCAACTTTATCTCATGCGGGCTGCTCCCTTGGAGCGGCACCGCTGCTCCCGAGGGAGCGCACCCCGTAGCCGGGTGCAGAGAGTGCTTGGGGGCTGGACGGCCTGTCTGTTCATTTGGACGGGCTCAGCCCCGGCGACTTTCTAGGGTGTCTGCCCAGACCAATGTCTCCCCCTAATTCCTATCATCCTTCCGCCTCTGAAATGGTCTTGTTAGACCGAAAGGGCCTAACTCAACAAAACAAACAAACAAACAAACAAACAAACAAACAAACAAACAAACAAACAAACAAACAAACAAACAAACAAACAAACAAACAAACAATGCATGATTAAACAATTATTTCGGTACTAGCTTAAGTTTCAAAACATTTATAATATTTCTTACGCAGTCGCTGGCATGTTTATTCAAATGCAACTCAGAGTCGTACATATAGGTACCTAATCATCTTAGTTATTACCTAAAACATGCAATTAACAAGCAATTTTTAAAGTCCCTCAGAAATCCCCGGGCAGCGACTGACTGCCTGCCGGCCGACCGGCCCCGGGTGGCTAGAAGCAGGGGCCGGGGGCCGGTCACTGTTTGGCCC